GACGCTTAAACTTGACAACTGTGTTTCTTCTACATTCGAGAACAAAGAGGAGCAGAAAACAAGTGATGTTTTAAATTTACACAGTTAGCACTCAAACGTTGGAAATGAATTTCAAAAAACTTTTAATTATATTGTCCAATAAGAATAAAAAATAAATTTTCTAGGAGTTTATACTCATTGTCGTGCGTGTAAATAGTATTACACATAAAAGTAGGTTGCCATTTATTGAACGAAGTTTCAGATGAATCTCATTTGTCTAAGTATATTACCTTTATTTTCGCTTATTATTATTTCACCGACTGTGTCACTACAGGTAGCTTTTGTGAATTTAATGTAGAAACAATGAATGACAAGATGTTACCTTCAAAAGCAAGAAATAATTAAGAATATATACATCAGGAAATTTATTTTCCGTATTTCTAAATAAAATCTCATAAATAAGAAAACTTATTTTCAATTTCCTTTCCCAGTTTCGATATCAATCTGTAATGTTATTACTACGTTTGAACTTTGCAAAATAAAAATTCATTATAAATTTCACACACCAATAGTGAGGAAGCAACACCACATGAGGTGACTTGACTCCACACCTAAATTCTCTCAAGAAAATATAGATTACATATTAGCAATAGAATAACCTCAATGGACAAGGGTAGTAAGTGCCTCCATATCCCAATTTTAGTACTGTAAGGATCGCTTGATACAAGAATACTGTTCGGTACCTCAGGCCACTATTCAAGAGAATATATTCTCGGCAACGAAGAACCTAAGTCACAGATACGAGCTACAATTAGTCCCCTGTCCACGGTGTCACGCTGACCACATCCCTTTAAGCAAGGGTAAAACATTCCGCATGACATGCAAACGTACAGTAACCGTAATACGAGCGCGTTTGTACGGCACAAATATCTTGTACTTGCTATACGAACAACCGCGACCCTTTCGGTAGCCATTCGGGGTTTAAGCTATTTTTTCAAAGGAACCGTCAAACCGTGCACGCTACAAACGCGCACGCCCGTACAATAGCACGCCGTGACTCGAAGGGGATGCGTGCATGTCGTCATCCATCATCCTGCATATGTTGCTCCGTTCGACGAACCCTTCCTCGTGCGATACAGGTCTACAAGGGCGACGGAAAAAAGTTCCCTGAATAACGGTTACAGATGCCCAACAGAAAAAAGCTTTCTCCGGGACTTTTACCCAAAGTTTTCCCTAACTAACTCACGAAAACGGAAAAAAACACCCGAGACCCATAGCTTTTGTACGAAACGTCATAAATATCATGAACCGGAAGTTCGTGAAACAGAGGTTTTGAACAACTGGAAAGTAACACGAAGGGAACGAGAAGATTTAATAATGGGAAAGGGTTTATTCTTTGTTTTGTTGGGAATCTTAGGTAGAGTGAACGAATGGTCATTTTTTCTTTGGAGTCTTCGGAACGTGGTTGCGTTTTTGAAATGTAAAGAACAGCATAAACATACTTTGGAGTTTCTAATAAAGGGAGTAATTTATTTACAGTGGTGACAAATTTCTATCCTGTAGAACGTATTCGATCAAACCAAGTTCGAGTTTCGGAATCTTTTGATATGAATTTAAATTCCGTCAGATTTGATGTATTTATGAAAGTGAAACAATGTTACAGGGAACAAAAATCGGTACATCTCTGCTCATGGTGAATGGAAACATAAGCATACAGATAACACTAGACTCTTTTATGTAGATAATGCCGCGGGAACGAAAGGATAATCTTGTCTGTAATACGAATCAAAAACAATAAAATTACATTCGTATTTGTTTCATACACGATCCATTCTGATATCTGAATTTTTCGTTTTCTTAATTTCCAACCATATAACAAGTAAAGAAAGCGCGAAAAGCAACGAATAATTAAAAAAACGTAAATTGCTACATGTTCGTTTACTCGTTAACTATAATTCAAATAAAATAATATCCGTCGCAGTGATTTAAATGCATATTGCAGAAACTCCCATCGATTTATCAAAGCAATATTTCCTTACTTATAACAAAAACAATTCCATCCTACGGATCGATAGCGGGGCCGACCAAGAGGAGAACATCGAAATGGAACAACAATATTATTTTTCTGTTCGAGCAAACCCTTCCTTCGACGAGAGGTGCTTGGATACAAAATCTATACGGGTCACGTGCCGGCACACGTGACCTGTCCACGCGCGATGCATTCGAACGCACGCGTAAGCGCATCCACGTAAACATGTAACTGTGCAAGTGCATATCCCTCGTGCAAGTAGATCTATGCGTGCGCAATGCCGCGGGGACGCGCGTGTATATCTTTACGAGACGCGTAAATACGCGAGTGTGCGTGTGCGAACGTGATCATACGGGAGATGATTTCCGGTCCATTGTGCAGAATCCTTCGACCGTTAGCGGCAGCTTTAACTCACCATATTGTCAAGTGGCGCTGGCCAAATTTGTTATTGTATTGGATTATGGTTATTTTATACGCCCGCTTCGGAGACCGATGAAACATCCACCACCACTATGACTGTACAGCGTACGTAGTCATTATTTTGATATTCCTTAGAGGCATTCGAGAACCGATGCTATGAATTTATAAGTATAGCAAAACCTATTCTTCTGAAAAACTGAAAGCTGCATTAGTAAGACACCTTATTTCATGTAACCATGATGCATTTTTAATATAATTTCTACAATATTTGTTGCGTAGTTTCAATTGAATATAACGTTTTAAGGACTATTGTTTTGTACACACTTTTATAGGAGCTCGTCGAGATTAACTGAACTGCATGGTTAATTGGTTTTCCGCATCGTTCTTGACATGCGTCATCGGAATCTATTAGATGTTTCAACTTGTAACAATTAGATATTTACAGACATAGGAAGATAGCCTCCTGGACTGTGTATAACGTGTTATTAATGCCTGTGACTATTAGTGCACTAGTGAATCATCCAGAGAACAAAAGATGTCTCTTCAGACTAGTAATGCAGTACTCAATTATTCGAGTCGCGAACGTTTATCTAGGTATATCTTTCTGTTTTGACGTATTAACTTTTATTTCAGTTGTTCTTTTTTTAATTGTTAAAGATTCACATTTTTTCCCGACATTTAAGGTAAAAAAAATTACAAATTGGTAAAAGATAGGAAAAGTAGAGCATTTGATTATAAGTGTAATATAGATAATTGAAGTGTAGTGTCTTATTAATTAATTTTTTTGTTTGCAACATCAAGCTTCGTTTTTGAAAAGTTTATAGCAAAATCGTAAAGGGTCGTACGTAGGCCGTTTACCCTAAGAGTTCAACGCCTCCCTTTATATATTCGTTAAATTTCAAATCGACATTGAAATATCTCGAATAAAAGATGCCACAAGAAAAAATAACGCAATTCCAAGCAGGAAACAACGAGTACTTTTTATCGGTTGAAATTAAAATTCAAAAGTCCACTCGATACCGAAGTGTTCATAAATAAGCTCGCGGTGGGCAAGGTTCTAAATAATCATAAAAAGTGACAAAACGTCAAAGCGTTTCCAAAATGGAGGACTGATACTCCCCTTGTCGTAATAGGAGACGAGGAAGAAGTAAATCTTCAATATTTTCACACTGGCACACGTTTTGGTAGCAAGGCTCTAAATAATCGTAAAAAAACGGCCAAACGTTCGAATACTTCTTCGATCGAAGGATCGTATATCTCTCGGTGGATATTACCGATTCCCAAATTTTCCGAAACCTGCTACCATTTGCATAATCGTGGGCAGGGCGAGAAGAGGGTCACGGTGAATCGACGGAGGTGTCGAGCTGACTGATACAAAAGTGAAACCTACGAGGGTTCCGAGATAAAGGTAATTTAGATGCGTCGCTGGGTCACGACTGGCGACTATTACAGCTATTACCGGATCCCAGCCCATCTCGTTCCATCTCATTCCGTACCATCCCACGCCATTCTGATGGTATTACGTTCTATCGATGCGAGTCCAAGCGTCATTTCGCGCGATCGAATCGTGCGGTCAATCGCGATCGGAGACACATCGATTCCCCCCTTCGGAAAACAAAAAATAACTACATAATTATTGGCAAACTGATCCCGCTAGGTCAACCTACTTTTACCTTCCAGTCAAGTTCTATCGGTCTACTGTTTAATGTAATGTTTGCGAAACACGAGCACACGAGACGACCGTTGTCAAGGCACCGAGACGATTATTTATCTAATTTTTTAGGATACTTGGAGGAACTGCACAAGAAAAATATTGTTAGAGAGGGTAGTATTAGATACGGTGGTATGAATAGTTAAACAGATTAAAGTAAGTAGGAAACTTGATGCTTCGTTTCATTTTTTGGAAGTCACTTCGGAATTATTCACTAAATAAATGCTGTTAACGATCAAATAAGATGGCAACGATAAATGTATCATCGTTTTCCTCCACTTCTCTGATCTTCCTTGGACTAACACCCCTTTCTTTGTATTTATGGTATATTTATCTTAGAAAGGCGCAGAATAAATTTCCACACCTAATAGTAACGAATGACTCAGTTGTTTAAGCGATGACAATTTTGTCTCAAACGAGCTATTATTTATGTCATGTTTGGTTAGTTTGGAGTTTACTAAATTATCACGCAAAGCAAATTTACTAATCAGTTGTCAAGCGATAATAATTTTGTCTCGAACAAGCTATTATATTGTATATCGTACGATAAGTTGATTTGGAATTTACTGAATTATCATGTAAAAACAAATTTATTAAATTAATATACCGAAAGATCTGACTATCCCTTTCCAGTACAAAAAACTCGTTTATCTTTTACTCGTTGCGCGAGATTTTTATCTAAATTTTTCCCCATCTCGGATAATAACCATGGTCGTCGTTCGTGGAGCAGCTGAATCCACTCGGTTGGCGCGCAATCGCGTGACACGCAACGTCAAACGATGCCTACGCTGTGAAGCGGCAGGGCCAGGATACGACAACGCGTAATTGCAATAATGAGAATGATGGAATATATGCACTTACTTGCAATGCGACTCGCCGCGTGGCGATGACACGCACACTCCTCCGTTCTTGCAGGGGCTCGGCGAACACGACACAAAACCTGCAACAGTCATAAAAACGTAACGGATTAGTTACTGCAGAACCGATACATTAACATTTATTTACTAAACATTCGTTAAATGACGACCTTGGTCATACCACTCTTACAGTATTTCGAATGACCGAATGCATTAACGCATTGTATCTTCCAAGGAACGTTAATTCGGCTAGATTTTAGTTTCAAGACAACTATTTCCCATCGTACGGTGCTCTTTTGAGCAACGGAAAAATAAACTCGGTCTCTACAGAGCAAGGAAAGGAACCTCCTGCTTCGCAAGGTTCGTCGAAAATGTGCTACTTCCGCTCCGTAGGCGAGCAGAATTCGAAAGAAGAGGCGCAACCTGACGTTCGTTTATCGAGTCAGCAATTAAAACCCAGTTGGAGAACGCTGGAGGCGGGTTACGGTGAATCCCAAGGGAACCTTTGACACGCCGTGCAAAGTGAACTTTCGTGTATCCCCCTTAAAGAATACGGAGAGATAAGGATAGAACGAGGGACAGAAAATGGAGGCACCTTTAAGGGAGTGAAAATATCGGAGATCCTTACCTTATTACCTTACCGCTTCGGGTGTAAACTCGACCAAGGGCAGGGGATCGACGAAACCACCCGCGCACATCCTGCTCGAGCATTGCCGGAACCTTGGCTTGAATAAATTCACACGAGTCGAACGCCTGCACGTGCGTCACTTGCACGTGCAAGACAGAGAAGTCTCGCGTAAAACAAGGGACCTTTGCTAATATAACACCGGTCGAAAAAAGTCAGGGGTCTATGCGCGTTGTACACAGTAAACGCATTTAATTTTCTGCTTGTTTACGTTGTGTTTCCTTCTTTGTTCTATTCCCTACTCGATTTTTATTTGGTACGCGCTTAATGTTTTATTCATTATTTGTTAAGAGAAAAAAGAAACGAGGCTCTGGGCATCTCATCGGGTAGCACAAGTCTTAGGTGGGAACAAAACAAGTTCATGGAGATCGATATTAATTCAATTAATCGAAGAAAATGAAAGTGTATGTGTAAGAAGAAAAATGTAATAGAATGTTGGAAATGAATAGAATTGGAACATTGACTTTCACACTAAAACTACCAACTCCCAACTTATATTCCTTATGCACGGTACAATTGATATATATGTACCTAGTTACATTTTAATCATAAAATACCACTCTGGAACTCGATGAATCCCACTTACTTTCCCCAATTTATATATTTTCCTCGAGACACTATAAATTGAAAATTACAACCGTGAATTCGTAACACAACATTCGAAAATGGCTAATTTTGTTCTCAGAAAATAAATTTAGTTCTCTACGAGTGAACAGAAAACACTCCTGATGTGAAATCTTCACAGACAAAAGGATAAAATCAAATTAACAGAAAACCTTGATAATTAAATCATGCGATCCGATGCAATTATACAGCTCATGCTGCACTCGATAAACGCCTCCTACGTCTCTCGTTCTGTGCAAACTCCCGACTTTGTATGCATTTGTATATCTTACAGCATTAACGTAATCACTTTCGTCGGGATCATTAACGTCGATCCTCGAATAACATTCGTGTTATATCACACACTCGGAGAACGTGTAGTTAAAGTTCGATTGATGCGATCTGTGCAACGTAAAGTACATCAAGCAGTTAATGCGCATGCATACACGCATGCCAGCGCGGGTATAATAACGTAGCAAATAACTGCTTAACATAGACAGAGAGGAAAGCAACAAGACCAGCTCGGTGTACTTATGTTTTATCAGAGCACTCCGAGCCGGAGCCCTCCGTGTTGTCTACCTAACCTTTGATCACGAATTCCTACACGATGTAAAAGCTCTTTTTCATTCATCATTATTATGTAACACGATATTACGGTTTTATATGTAATTCATAATGAATATTCTATACAGACGTTACCACATCTGGAATAGTTCATCGATAGTAGAAATTGAAAATATATTTCTCTATATATACAAAGAAATTTTCAGAGATGAAGCTTCATTATACTTGCAATTATTCTTGAATTGTTCGTGTTACTAATCCTTTGGTTTATATTCGTGGGTAAGTTTATACGTATAGTAAACAAAGGATAATTATTTTACAGGCTGAAAGACGCTATTATTAACTTTAAATTTCGACTTTTCGTTTCGGAGGTATCCTCAGAATTTAAAAATATTATAATTCCAAAGATGAGCCTGGAACAAAGCATCTAACCATAAAATATATAATACCACGCTCGAGACTACGAATTATCACATCTTAACTTTGATTTATAATAGAAAGTGAGAACTATCCGATGGAGGGACACTTTTAATTCATTCTTTCTTCATGGTTAATGTATGTGCAGTGCATCTATCATCCAAACACATTGTATATACGCCGTAACGATTTCTAATGGAAGACAACGGTACGCCGATTTGCGTGATGCTTGCAATTAATAACAGCGCGCACGAAAAAAAAAGGATGTTAATAGAATAAAGCACGTGACGTAACGATCAGGACTCCTTATGGTGTCGTGTGGGACGTTAAAAGTCGTTCTAACCGTTTGTAAATGTCATCTTAATGGCATACACTTCTCGACTTATTGTTAGACACATTTACACGCAACGGAGATCCGTGACACTCGTAACACGCGTGTGCACTTAGGATTCACAAGGTTTGTCACATATTCAAAGCAAACGCGAATAAAAGTTATACTTTAAATTTCGCAAGACACGCGACGTCACAACGTAAAACAAAGAATAACGAATTATAGGTGCCAATTTGATATGCGCGAATGGTTCATAAATATTAATGCAAGATTCCATTATAGTTTACGTGTCGCAACGTATAAACAATCTGTAGTATTCAATGATTCAGTGACAATACCGTGATGTTCAAGATGTAGACATTTGCGAATATTAATTACATAATACGTTGAATTGCGCATTGTACTTTGCTGTTCAGAAAGTAAGCTAAATAGGCAGTTTGAAGAATAAAATATACCTAGCGGAAAATGAAAAGTCTGGTGTTTGCAAAAGTCTTGTGAAACAATATAGTAAATGCTAAATACCAAAATTTCTGTCTAATAGAGGTGCAAGATAGAATAAGGTGTTCAAGATACATGTGATTCAAATGAAATTCTTCTAACATCTACTGATGATAAAGAGTATTACTTTCATTTGTTAGATTTTGACTATTTATAGTTTCTTTACTGAAACATTGGTCTGGAGATGAAGTTTGCTTAGTTAATGATACTTGGGTCGTTCATGTTTTTATACACAAATTCTTCACAAACTAATACGTTTAGTCGACATTCGAAAGAAATGAAAAAGAACCACGTGGTCACGCAAGATCAATTCACATTATCTATAATTTAATATGAAAGTAATCCATCGTATAGTTTCTTTATAAAGAATTTTTCAAAGTACCTCTCATACTAGGGCCGTTACAGTGTCACGCCTCCTTGAAGACCAATAAAGAGAGCAACTCGCGTGCTTTTATTTTAACATGGCAGTAATTTTGCACGCGTAACATTGAAATATTACAGTCTGAGATCGTTGGCCCGTTGGGATCGACGAGACGATTCAATCCACTGAAAAAGACGAGGGGTTGAATCGAGTCGTCGCACACAATGAAGTCCGGGTCCGTTGTCGTCGAGACAACGACGAAGACAGCTGCCAGAACGTAGCAACGTCCGCGACGAGACGGATGAGATCAGTTAAACCAAACTGCCTTCGTGACAAATCCTCCGTTTCCTCTGTCGGTTCGCGACTCCGTTTTACTGTCGTTGACGCAGTTGCGTGTACACTTGCGCACGCACGTCCTGTCGCGGATCACCGACGTAATTTCTATGTAGGACGAAGCAGCATCGGCGCGATTCCTCAGGATTTCCGTCGTCTACGTGGTCCAGGTCGGTAGGTAACAAAGCAGTGTTAATCTTGGACCTCGTGGTCACTCGAGGCAACCAGCGCCAGCGCGTGTTCGAGAAAATTATTCTACTCGTGAAACGTATTAGCGTGACTTCTCCTTTTTGAAAATCTATCTTCTTATTTTGGATTGATCAATCAAGTAAAAATGATGATACAACGAGGAAAATTGTTTTACAATTATGTGTATTATGTTCTATATCGAGTAATGCAAAGTCGAAGGAAACTTCAAAGATGATTTTGATCAGTAACACACTTATAACTTTAAAGTTTTCAAAATAAATTACTTCAAAAGAACATTATTTGATCATTTGAAAAATAATTGCTACGATACGTTCCATTTCTATTTTACATCTAACTTTCTAGTAACTATTAAAGAAGAACAGTATCTCTCATCCTTTCATTATCGAGTTAGCTTCACCTCCTTATCAACAATAATATCAGCTCGATAAAATATGTTATAACATAACATTTGCACATTTAAAAATATTATATGTACCTATAAATTTCTTGTCATTTTTGTCAACTTTCATTTCGAAGACACAGTTCTAAACTGTAGAGAATTCATTACATTCATCATTACATCAAAAAAATGAAGTACCAGAATGCCTCGATGAGTTTCGAATATTTTAAAGACGTTACATAAAAAGATTTGAAACAAGAGTGGCAATTTTAAATGCAAACGCATAGAATCTAAACACATCTCGTGGTGAGTCCCAACGTTACGTGTATATGAACAAAGAAAAGCTAATTGTGTTTAGACAGAACAAAAAGTCCCCATATGAATGCATAGAAGAAAATTGTAAACGATCTGCAATTAAGGAGGAAATAATGCTAATTTTGACAATGCACGGAAGTGAATTGTACTGAAACTAAGTTCCAGTAAAATCTAGTGAAACTTCGGTCATTAGAGTGTCGTAACTATTGAAGCATTTCCTCCTTCTGGCTGAAAATGAACAGACCGGGCAAACATTCTCGCACAATAATCTGCATCGCCTGGTGGAAAAAAATGGCTTTAATTGTTTCAATTCCAGGGTAAATTACAACGTCAGTAGAAAGCCACTGTTGAATTACGCCTTCCTTCCTGCTCGTCCGCGAAATTAAT